TGTTCGCTTTTGTAGAAGGTGTGGTTGATGTCTGGTTCCCCACAGTCGACGCTGACCCATGTGGAGAGCTGGTCGGGTCGTAGCAACTGCAGCCCTAATGGCCCATTTCAGGTGCCGTCCTCTCCAACGACGCCGTTTGGGATTAAGAACAAGCCATGGGACCTTATTTATCAGCCCGCCGTTCAACTGCCAAAACACAAGCTAAGCGGCGGAGGCCTTCCGGGCCCACCTAGAAGCCTCGGTCAACTTCAATATCCTGCACAAAATCCAAAGTCCCCTGTTTTCTACAACACCCGTGTAATCAATTTCTTCATCCTTAATCTTATTGCATTTTCTTGCTCGACTTTTGTGCCCTATTTTTACTTTCTTTCGTATTTAACAGTTCCAGCAACTGAGGATGGAGCGTTTGTTGAACCATCCGGATATCGGTTGTGGAATGTGGTACAGCCAGCACCAAGTGGATCAAAACAGGGGTGGGAGACTAGTAGGAGGAATGGGTCAAGCAGCATACCAGACCCGTCCTACCCAAACGTTTAGCGGTTCGGGTACACCGGGGGTATCTTTTGGTAGGTATGTTGGCGGCGATAGGGCTGTGTCGGGCGGTGGCGGTGTGAAAAAGGGTTGTGCTGGTACCGGGGTCTTTTTGCCTCGAAGGTATGGGAGTAATAATGACAAGAACGCGTTCCCTTCAGATTCACGCAAGAAGCTAGGTACTTTACAGCTAACCAGTATCTTAATTTCCCCTGAATTGCTGAAAAAGTTTTGGAACTATTTGAATATTGAATTTATCATATCTTGGGGCCTGTTTTAATTTTTTGTCATTTTTGGCTCTCTCTTTTATCTGAATATTATGCAGAAATTAGCTTCATTAACTTTGGATAAATTGTGGTCCAAAAATGGAAAATGTCAAATTCTAATCCGAGGTAACAGTGGGGTTAATGGTTTCATGTGAGGTCACACCGTCACTATCTGGCATCTCTAATGGCGATCTCAAAACATCATTTTGGACCATTTTATATCAAACGGTGCAAAGTCAATTTCCTTCATTTTTTAAACATATTGGTTTGGGGGTATTTGTGTCATTTTAATTATATATATTTTTAATAAAATAAAATATTATTGTTGCTGCTGTTGTTGTTGATTATATTATTAAAATTTATTATTTTTGATAATGTAATCAATAATAATTAAGGATTTTTTTAATTTAGTAATTATTTCCGTCAATTTAACGTGATACATAAAACAAGTGAATAATTTAGTAATCAATAATAATTTGATATTTTCGTTAATTTAACGTAATTATTTATTTACTAATTTATATAGTTGTAAAATAAATATATAAATAAAATTTTCAAATAAATAAATTGATATGAATCGAAAAAATAAAGAAAATGATTAAACACTATTCATTTGTTCATTTGGTGAAGGGTTGGAAGTTGGAGATATTTTGAGTTTGTAGCAAGATTTGGTGTTAAATGTTGTAAAATTTCACTTAAATTTTGGTGCAACGTTGTAGACGTCTAATAATGGGATTTCCGCATAATTTTTTAGTCTTTTTATCAACATTCTTGTCCGCCAAATCCTTGTATAGAAGTCAAAAAGGAACAAATCTTTGTTGCTTTATAGATTTTCACCACCAGATTCAGCGCAGAACGAATTTTGTTTATTATTCATAATATTCCAAAAGTACATTTGATTTGATGCAGACAAATAATGTTTTGTATTTGACATTCTGTGCATAGTTGGTTCAACTGCTTTGCTTCCAGATAGAGTTGTTCATGCCCTCAACACGAACTTTGTTGACGTAAATTCGCAGTCTCTGGCCGGGTACAACTTGGGCTTCATCCCGGATTATGGTATGCATCGCACTTACTTATGCACTATCTTTCTACTTTTTTGGTGTTGTTTGGTGCTTAGATTGTTTAATTGCCGCATTGCGCAGACACCTTCATGGCTCGAAGGAACGAGTTACTTTTACGACGTCAACTTGGCTTAAGTTCCTTGACTTCAAGTGCATATCCTCCTCCGGATTGGAGCTTTTGAGTTTGTAGGCATTTTCTGTTGATTTGGTGGTAAGAAAAAGGCTAGTGAAGTTGAGGTAGTATAATGAAATGTGACCTGATGATGATGATATAGAAAAATACAGTGAAAGGCAATATAGTTAGAGTGAGGAGTGGAGGAGGGTGGCTTTCTAATGTAGTAAATTGTTGAACAAGTAGTGGATGCTTGGCTTAAATTTTTGAATTGGAATTGAAGGGAAAATCCCCAACCCTCCGTTAGTTATGTAATTGCTAGAAAACGTTATGTCCAATAAAAAACTTTTAGGTGTATTTGATTATATTTATTTTTCATGGAAAACATTAGTTTTCCACCCAAATTCTTACTTGAAGTGTTTGATTGCTATTTTTTTCCATGGAAAATTTTTTTCAACTTTTGAAAATATGTCTAATTTTTCTCGTTTTTAAGGAAAACATTTTCTTTGGGTAGAGGTGGTTTTTATTTTCCACAAAAGATGGAAAATATTTTCTTTTCTAGGTGATATATTCTATGTCAATCAAACACTCTTAGTTTCGTTATCAATTTACATTTGTAATCTGTCTGAATTAATGAATTAATGAACGAATTATCGAGGATGAAAGCCGGTGTTGGAATAACGATTCGGATCTGTTTGGTACATAAGATGGAAACTGTTTTTCGTTGAGTTTATAGAAGCTTGTCTCGTGAAAGTGAAAAGGAGTCGTAATTCTAAAATCTTTTTCTTTGGCACATACCTTAGCGGATAGAATCTCAAAGAAAATGTCAAGTACAGATTTTTAAACTTACAATTTTTTAAACATGTATTGGTCTTCTGACAAATTTATCCAAGGAACAAGTTAAATTTATGTTCGTCTTTCTTTAAAATGAAAATTTTTAATTTTCATATTTATTTTAATAATATATTTTGCACGTAAATTTATTTTTTTCTTATTTTTAAACTATATATTTTAAAAAATATATTATTTAGAACATTATTTCTTCTCAATAATGGCCATAAAATGGAGGCTATATTTCAAAGGAAAGAGCTTGTTCGGTACAACTTATAAGTCAATTAAAATTAACTTTTTTATTATTTTAACTGATATTTTTGAATTCTTCTCTTATAGGTAAGATCCATTTTATTTTTAACGGTCAAAAAATCAATTATTAAAATTCTTACCAAACAAGCAGATAATCTTTGGCTTTAGGACGGAAAGAAACATAAAAATATAGAGGTCCTTTCAAGACGAGTCTAGTGGAGTGTTACTTTGGACGAAAAGGAGTTTAAGACAGGGACGTGTGCAATGGCGTACGACGTAGTATCAATGTTTTGTTGTCGTTATTGTCTTTTTGAATTGGAACTCGGGTTTTCCCGGTTCTTTTTCAGATTTCAAAGTGAAAAGAGTGGCAAACATTTTCGGTTTCTGTGATTTGGTTTATGATGGTGGGGGGTTTTTGTTGTCTTATTATCAGTGTAGTCTTTCTAGGTCAACTCACGTACCTTTGTTTTTTTAATATTGTTAATTGTAAATCGGAGTTGACAATTTTTTCATAGGTTTTATTTTATTGTGGGCCCTCCTCACATGTGTGTGATTGTTAATCTCGATTATACATATAGCATAATCGTAATAAATACTACTATTTTCACATTAAAATGATGCTATGCTGGTAGAGAAGGTTTGACACATTTCCTAACAGTACACTGATAATGGGTGAGCACTTTTTTGATTTTTTTTTTTTTAATTCATGCTGGTGCCATGATCATGTGAGTGTCGATCAAGGGGAGCGTCAAACCTTTTCTGGCAAGTCAACTTAATTCGTCACGTTATATTAGTCTTGGAATTTTATTATGGTCAAACTCTTGTAATTTTCCCATTAAGTACATGTTTGTTAGAGACTTTTTGAAAATAAATTTTATGAAAATAATTTTTTTAATAATGTATGATTAAAAATTATGAATTTACGTGAAAATTATTTTATTAAGAAAGTGTGTGATTTAAAATAAATTTGAAAAAATGTTTTCAAAAAATAAGAACAAAACAGAAGTTAACCTCTTTTTTCCTATCATTTTCTCCAAACTCATTTTAACCACATTTAATGGAACTCACAACCTTTATCAACTTTTCAATCATATATTTCATTAACTTTTATCAAAATTTAATAAAAAAATAATTTTTAGCTAAAGGCTTAATCATGTAAAATGATTTATTACTTGTTGACATGCTAAAAGTGCAGTCCAATTCAAATAGCTCAAAGAATGAAGCCCATCTGGGCAATTGAGGATAAAGACCCAAAAATGGTTATTAATGAATGTAGTGGAAGCCCATGAATGCGGTAACACCATCGCCCAAACTTGCAAGACGCCTAGGATCTGAGCGAATGAAGTGTCTTGCAGTCGCCCATAGTTATGACCCTGTTCTCGTCCAAACTTTCGAATCGCCCAGGATCTTAGCAAACATGAGATGTTATGGTTATCCAAAAGTGCAATTATCGAAACAGTTATTGGGTAATCTTATTACGTTCCACAATTCAAGGATATTCGGTTGAGGACGGTTGAACGACAAAGAGTAATGACAGCAGTTAGAGACGGCAGTTCCACAATAAGTTGGTCACCATGAAGAAAATGGGCAGTTATAAAGCAATTAAACGATTGATCACAAAGAGAGCATCAAAAGAATATAAAAGGAAGAAAAGACGTAGAGCAAAGGGCTCGAATCAAACACTCTCAAATAGAAAATATGTAATTTCAATTTCTTAGTTTAGATTTAAAACATTTATTTTCAGTACTCGTGTGCTTGCGCCCCTTAGAGGCATTTCTGTTTAAATTCCAATTGTAAAGTCATTGCCAATAAAACACTCCTTTTTGGGACTTTATCTCAAGAGATTTGTCCCTTGCACAATCGCCTGATCCCTTTTTAATTGTTAGCGACTACTTGCGCGAAACAATTTGACACGCCCAGTGAGACCTTGGTGTTTGGTGTTGAAGATACAAAAAGTGAAACAATATGCCTCAAAAATCCGATAAGGAAACAGCAAGTCAGAGAGGAGTCCAGTCTGTGATCGAGTGATATGAGGAGCAGCATACTCTCCACGAACAGATGGACAGGATCAGAGCAATCACAGTCGCTACGAACCAATGACAGAATTGAGTCCTCGAACCATGCGTGCATTACTCGAAGAACTCACACAAGATGTCGTTGAACAGGTGAATCTACGAAATATTCATAATATGGAAAGATTTACCTAGAATGGGAATGCACATTATGACAATATGGCCAAACAACTGAATACTTTGAACGAAATAATGAATAAGTTGGTAGGCAAAATTTGTCAGCCAGTTGTGCATCTTACAAACCACTTTCAAACTAGGACAATTGTGGGACATAATCCCCCGGTCCTAAGTTTAAATCAAGGGGTAGAACCACCTTTTGATCCCTCTACTTCAAACCAGGGGGTGGTGCAATACCAAATCAGAATAGTGGCATTGGTACGTCTAACTTGGGGGGTAATCCAAATGTAAGAGATAATGTCCTAAATAATGGGCAGAATATCCCACGTGTTAATAAGGGAATAAATGTTCAGGCTAATGGTAACAATGACCCAAATCATGGTAACTTTGTTGTTCCCAATCAAGGACCAAACATCAGGCCTCAAGCAAATCAACCTGTCAACCAACTTGTAGGGATTCCATATGACCCCAACGTCATGTTGAGGAATCAGATTATGAAAATCGTACAGGACCAGATGTCTTTTGGAGTACGTCCTGTCATTAGGCCGACTTACACAAAGCCATATCCTGATTGGGTAGACCAAGCATATCCGTGGCCTAGAGGGTATAAAGTGCCAGAATTCTCACTGTTTACCGGTTTAGGAGAGGTGTCTACTCTAGAACACATAGGGCGATTCACAATGCAAAGTGGTGACGTAACTGATTACCATAAAATGAGGCTATTCCCTAGTTCATTAACAGGAGTAGCCTTCTCCTTGTTCATCAATTTGCCAGCAAACTCCGTTCAAATATGGTAACAATTGGAGCAATTGTTTCACTCTCAATTTTATAAGACTGAGTCTGAAATTACTTTAGCCGTTTGGCGAATCTACGTCAAATGCCAAACGAATGGGCAGAAGATTTCCTTCAAAGGTTTAAAACAGCAAGAAGTAAATTTTTTGTACTCTTGTCCGAAAAGGAGTTTGTCAAAATCGCTCAAAGTTGTCTAAACTTTGATTTGAAGAAGAAGTTCCAAGACAAGGAATTTTCTGATCTTTTCCAATTGAGTGCGAACGTGATTAGGTATGAACGATTAATAAGAGAGGAAGAACAAATGAAAAATTCCAGCAAAGGAACTTATTATAGAGACCCAATTTTGATGTTCATACCATTAACGACGAGTATTACGATCAAATCGAAATGTGTTTGGCCGAATTAGTTAAAGGAGACACATATACTTGTCCTATAATGGCTAACCCTAGACTGTCAGGCAAAGATGAGCCTATAAAAGATGAAAACATAAAGGCAAGAACGTTCTCGTTCGATGTAACCAAAGCTGACCTTATATTTGATAAATTATTTAAGTATAAGCCGATAAAGTTGAGTGATAAGCATAAATTGCCAAGCCCTGAACAAATTAAGGGTAAAAAATATTGTAAGTGACATAATGCATGGTCACATTTGACTAACAATTGTTTGGTTTTTCGCCATGTGTTACAAGATGCCATTGAAAAAGGACGAATTACGTTCGAAGATAAGAGGAAGATGGCAGTGGATGAAAATCCTTTTCCAGAGCCACTTGGAGTGAACATGGTGACGTCTGGTTTCAGAAACAAGTTGCCAAAATTCAAGTTGATTATAGATGATGGAGAAGAAGAAGCTGGACCACATCCCAGTGTCTTTGAATGTATCAAAGGGAAGGAGTCCAAAAAGGACGAAGACGTCCTATGTGCAAGGTGCAAAAAAGAAGTGAGTGCAAATGCAGAGAAACCAGGGATATGGCAGCATTACCATCACCCTAGTTTTTTCCCAAACGCTCAGCCTGGTAGAGGGCAGGGTACATCGTTCTATAAGGGACCGCCTTTTGAGAGGCAGTTCAGGCCAGAAAATAACAGAAAAACATTCAGACCGCAACCTCGCCAATCAAATGTATGACATTCGTTCCAGTATAAGGCTGGAAGTGCGATACCTTTCAACGAGATGACTAGAACCCAACAAAAGCGTTTTCAACGGAACTATGGACGAATGATGAGGCAACAACAGGAAACGCTACATCCAAAGGCACCTAGACTACTCGAGATAGCCAATCAAAATGTTCTCAAAAATAGTGAAGA